AATCATCGTGCCTTTTGTTTTTGAAGGGGGCGGGGGAAGGAAAGGGTGTGTGTGTGTGGGGGGGGGGGGGGGGGCGTTCTGTGTCCCAATCTTTCATTCTGGGATATATATACATAATAAACCAAGATTCCTTCTCCTGGCCTGTGTGTCTAAATTGCTTTGGTATTCTGCTGTTGTCTTCCATCTTAGCAGCACTTGATCCCCTGGGCGCGTCCAACACAGGCAGGCTGATCCCAACTCCAAGAATGGCCCGGGATTCGTTTATCGGATGTGTTCTTGCGCTTCGTCTATCGCGGCATTATCTCGAACCCCACTTTTTTTTCGCTTATTTTTTTTTTAGGCGGCTTCTCGTTTGGTAAGGGAGGAATATATTTTTGTTATAGTGCATTTTCTGACGACTTATTGGTTTTGTCTCGTCGCCTTTGGAACCCCTCTTCTCTGAGCATTTACGACGGCCTAAAGCATCGCGTTTTTTTTTTTTTAATGTATCTGTTCGTTTATATTACTGGTCCTTGTTTATTGCCTTTTGTATAGGAAGGCTAGAAACATAACGGTACACAATGAAATACATTTTTAGTCCTGTTTTTATTGTTTCTCGTGCTCCTTTTATTATTTTTTTTTAGGGAGGGCTTGTCTTTTCTACCGCACGCGTTATAGAGGTTCCTTTTTTTTACTGCGTCAGCATTATACTCATTTTGGCGAAAACCCGGCGGTGTCTCTCGTTTGTCAGTGCCGGGGAGAGAGAAAGGAGGGGGAAAGGGTGAGGCGTGCGATGCTCCCATTTGGTTCGAAGCGTTGACGTCAACACGCCTCAACTGTCCCTCTCTCCCCGACGCTGACAAACTGACAGACACCCCCGGGTTTTCGTCCAATCGAACTCTTTCGTTTGCGTCAAAGGAGCGTTGCACTTCTATAGCGCGGAGCCAGACAGGAGGAGGGTTCGCCGCGGAGCGGTGGAATCCGTGCGTGCTCAGTTGCCCCTCTGCCGTCGCCGGTTGTGCTTCACTCTAGGTTACTGCAGTAGCGGTGCGTGGGCTGTGACGTGTGGGAGTGTTAAAACGATGGATGCAGTTCCCTCCACGAGTGGTCTGGATGTGGTTCTTTCCATGAGTGATATGGATGACCGTATCCAAGGGCGTCGACGTACTCTGACACGCAGAGTACAGAAAACAAAAAAGATGAAAAGAACTTTGCAGGAACATCCATAGGTGGAGTTTTAGGGAATGCGTTAGCATGACCCTTGGGAAAGTCCACACACGTCCCTTTTTGGGAGAAGCGCTTACACTGACCACGTCACGAGGCCAAACAGAGGCATCAAGAAATAGAGGAAGCAAAAGAGAAAGCCAAAGCAGAAAAGTGAAGAGGTCAGCGTGAGCGATTCCCAAAAGGGTATGTGCGTGGCGTTTTCCAAAGGTCATGCTAACGCATTCCCACAGAATCCTCCAATCGATCTTCCTGTAATTGTTTGCTTGACAAATCTGTTTAATTCAAAGCCGTGAATGCTACACTCAAGCGGTTTGCGCAGGTGAGTTACGCGGCCAAGGGGGCATAATGCAAGCGGATATTAATCACGATAAGTCGGCTCATTAACTGAAAGGGGTTAATTCATTTTTAATTAGTGGAGATATATACAAACTGTTTTATCTAGAAACCTGCGAAGCGTCATTAAACATCGCTCAATTATTATATTTTAGAAATATTTAGGGCTCGTGGGAAGCACGGCGGTACGTTAAAGTTATTACTCGTCCAGCGGGACCATTGCTAATGATAAGACGCGGGAAAAAACTGTACGCGCGTGCTTCTGCACCACTACCGTTGCTACTGTTCCACGAGTGGTAACTTTATCTCATCGCCCCTAAACATTTATAAAATTTATTTATTCGGTGGCTTTTGATGGACGCTCAGCGATCTTTTTTTTTGTATTAGTTTTTTATTAGAGCTTCATTGTTATCCTTAATAATTAAAAAAAGTTAAATAGCGAGTCTTAGTTAATTAACCGATTTATCGGGACGATTATCGCCTTACATAACGTCCTCTTGGCCGTATAGCCCTCCTGCACAGACCTAATAAGCGTACCTTTCAAGGCTTTTTTCAAAACAAATCTGTAAAGCCTAAGAAAAAATAAGAAACAATAGATTTTACATGGGCTGTAGATTTTCCGGCGTTTATTTACAAGGAAAATCGGCGGATGTTTTGCAGTGTTTATTCTTTTTTTTTGCAAATATCGGTGTTTTTAGGTTATCTGTTTTGGACGACTATAGTAATGCCTGGAAGGACTATAGTAATGCCCGCTTCAGGAAAGCGCCCGCTTTCGTGAAGCGTCCGCCAATGGCTATCATGGACCCGTTTTGCTCAACCAATGGGAGAATGGGTATTTCTTCCGCGTTTAGTTTGCTCTTACAGACGCCATCGGCTCCATTCCACGGAATAGTCAATGATTTCGCATTAAAACCGGAAAGTTTACGGCCTAGCCATAGACTGTTCGGGAACGTCATTCTTTCTGCCGCAAGCCACCCGCGCGAGGCAACTCCATCGAACATTCAATCGGAACGAATCCGCTCGCGCGTAGTCCGTTCATTGTTTCGTGTGTAATGTTCAGCGATGTGGACTCACTGTAACGCTCCCGCCCTATTTGCCACAAAGAGAAAACAAAAACGAAAGGGACGCGTGCCCTTTGTGAGAGCTCCTCGTTCGAAAGAGATAAGTGCCGAGGCGCAGCAAGTTATGGGAGGGCCTTTGTTGCCTTCGGGGCCGTCGTCGCATCATTAAATTCATAATAAAAAGTAAAAAACAAAACAACATCAACAAAAAAAAAAAAGAAAAAAATAAGGTCGGTCGTATACAACGGCGAAAACAAATATTTTTTTTTTTTGTTTGTGGGTTTAATTTAAGTACAATTGGACGAAAAAGAAAACAAAACGCGGATGTGCGAGCAATATTTGCGTTGGAAACAAGTACAGGGTGTACCCAAAAAGCATTTACCGATTTTTTTTTGTTTTTTTTTATATCTAAAGTAAAGTACGCATGGGCGAACGCTTATTCTCCGCCCAAAGGTAGCTCTAGTGGTTCGCACCAGATGCCAAAGTTTTGAGCCTAAAACGATATGTCATGCAAAAGTTACGAGTGATTTTTTTGAAAATTTCAATGGGAAGATGCTCGAATACATCCTGGAGCTCTCTGGCGCCCGAAACCGAAAACGGGCGAAAATGGGCCCCATATTTCCATTGAAATTGGGACGTTGTTTGTCCCTTTTTTTTTCTCTTTCACGAGTCTTTCGTTCTTCAAACCAGTTTCAGGTTTTAATCAGCATGTATATAACTTACACGAGCTCTCCTCCGCATTAACCGTTTTTTTTTCCATTGATAACTTTTGAATAAGGTAAACCGGTTCGCGCTGAAACTTTGTCCTCTGGTTCGGACCTCTAGCGCTACCTTTGGGCGGAGAAGAAGCGCTCTGTAATGTGTAACCTGTGTTTGCAACAATAAAACAAAAATCATGCTTTTTTTTTGTAGGATTAGAGGTGACATCAGAACGACGGGCTCTAATTGGCGCCGATTAGAAGGACATAGAGTGGGCCTATACTTCGTTTCAGCTTAGATCCGAGCGCGGCCGATGTCGTGAGCCGAAGGGCCAAACAAACACCAAAAGAAGCAGAACTTCATGGCGTGCTTTCTGCAGTTGATAAGACCAGCTGATATTTGCCGTCTCTCTGTGCGTGCTCCTCCGCCGGCTAGTTCTATCAAGCGCAGAAAGCACGCCATGACGCTACGCTTTTTGTGCTGTTTGATTGGCCCTTCGGCTCATAACATCGGCCGCGCTCGCACCTATAGGGGAAACGAAGTATATAGCGATTTTCAGGTCTGCCCCACTATCCTTCCAATCGGAGCCAATCAGAGCGCGGTGTTTTGACGTCAACGCAACCCCTATACGCAAGAAGCGGTCGAACTTGCCCTCCGCATAATCACAGACAGCTCAAGGAACTCTAGGGTGTGGCTTATTTATTATCTTCAGGCTTCTTACTTCGTGATTGGTTCATCGGCGTTCCTATCGGCTAATGCAGCAATCTGATTGGCTGTGGAAAGATAATGAGATCTTCGGCACTCGCCATGCCCTGCGAGACCGCGCAATCGGGAGGTTAATATGGACCCCCATTAATACATGCGGGGCGTTCCTGAGAAGAAAAAAAAAAAGTCTTTTTCGGCCCACATAAATAAACTACGCATGGGATAAAGCCAAAACTCCGTGACAATGTGACGCTAGCGATTTGGAGACAGTCGAAAGTTTGAAAACCTGAAGTGCTTCCAACACTCGAAAAAATGTCTGTGCGTCTACTTTCACGCACAACCGCCAGTCAGCGCAACTTACGGAGGCAGCTCAGCGAATGACGATGCGGAAACATATGTTTAGACCAAAAAACGCAGTCTGAGCTGTGACATTAAGCAATGCAAAAAGTCACGCTTGCAATGCTTCATGTCACAAGTCTGACTGCGTTTTTGGGTCTAAACAGATGTTTCGGCATTGTCATTTGCTGAGATGCCTCAGTAAGTTGCCGTGATTGGCCCTCCGAGTGTCGTGCGTGGAAGTAGACGAACAGACTTTTTTTAGAGCGTAACTGAAAAAAGAAACGGAATTTCTTTATACGACGACGCCCAAGTAAGCCTAGCGTCATCAAAACGAGGAGTGACATTGTGGGTAACCTTAAAAGGTATTCCAGTAAAAAAATAAACAAACTTGTCGGCAAGAAAACAAAACAATATTATTTTTTCTTGCTGACAAGTGTGTGCCATTGACATATAAATGCCACTTGCGTCCAAAATCCCAGTTCTTGTTTTTTAACACGATACTAGGCTGAGGTGAACATCGGCTCATAAAAGCGCCAGATTGCTTACAGACGACAGGATGACGGCAAAGTCGAAGAACACAAGACTGGGAGTGTCATTCTTCGTTTCCGTCCGGATCGCCCAATGCCACAGCGCATTTTAATGGGTTTCACATCTCACCCTGTAGAGGAATACTTTGGTCCATCCATCCAATGCTTTCACTGTCAAAGATATGGGCACATTTCAAAATTCTGTCGTGGTCCACAACGTTGTAAAGTGTGCGCTGGGTCACACAATCACAAGGCGTGTACATCTTTGCAGGACCCAAAGTGTGCCAACTGTGAAGGTCCACATCCCTCAACGTTTGCTGGATGCCCATGCAAGAAGTCCGCGACAAACATACACAAGAAGGAACTCGTGAACGAGAGATTACCGAGCAAAGAAACCGAACCCGAACCCAGACATTGTACGTTTTTCAAGGCCACCGCCATCTGCAAATCCAAAGAAATCAACAAAGAGAACGTACTCTGACGTCGTACAAGGGGCACCAAAAGAAGATAGGAGCAAATCAAAAGCAATGTTACAGCAAGACATTCCTCTGTCAAAAAATACCTCGGATCCTACGACACGGCCGCCGGTAGCAGCACCTCGTAGAGGAAAGAACAATGAACGCAACCCACCAGCTGCTGCAGTTCCAGGTAGAATACCTCAGGAACAACAAAACGACCTTGGACAAGTTATTGTTCCCATGCTTTTTGCTGCGCTTATAGCAATAATCAGAACGCTGCCCGGTTCTAGCGACCTTCCGGAAGTTAGGGCAATACTGGCCATGGAACCACTCATCAGGACAACATGCCCATTGGTGAGTGGATACCTCCATGGCTGAGGTCTATAAGCGCACATCTATCCTCCAGTGGAATGCTAACAGCTTGCAAGAAAAATTAGGGGACTTTCGACAATTTGTTGCACAATACTCTTTTCCCATTCTGGTAATATCAGAGGCGCGTGTAAATAATCAATTTCGACTTGCTAACTATGTTATGTACCAATCAAAGAGGCCAAGAGGAACAAGTCGATGCTTAGTCGGGGTGCGTAAAGAATTTGGCTCGATTCTGTTATTTACTTCAGATTCAAGTGATTGGAGTATGTCGTCTGCAAAGTCAGTTATGGCACGACCTCACTCACGACCTCACTATGATGGGCGTATATATAGAACCGCAGAAAACTATGACAAGAACAGAGTTCGAGGCATTATTCACAAGACTTGAACGTCCCTACGTTGTTTGCGGAGATTTTAACGCCCATCATACCCTATGGGGCGGATCCCACTGCGATCCTCGGGCAAGCCTTATCGAAAGCCTGGTAGACCAGTATGATATGTGCATTCTGAATGACGGCTCTCCAACATACTTGAGAGGTGTAAACTATTCAAGTTGCCTAGACCTGACTTTGTGTTCCTCCGATCATTCACATGTGTTTGACTGGCGCACAGACTTGGACACGCGTGGCAGTGATCATTTTCCCATACTGATACACCATCCCCGGATTGTTGGTAATCGTGTTCCGCACCGGGTACACTTTACCAACTGGAAAATGTTCCGCTTTTTAAATAACAAAGAGGTGGAAGAAATTCAGTCTCTCGAAGACTTCGAAAACATCATTAGCAGAAATTTTGAAAAGGCTACACGTCAGGTGCCCGTTCCAAAAGACCGTGGTTGTGTGAATGGCGAATATGAAAGGCTGCAAGCTATAAGACGCAAAGCTGAAAGAAGATATCGGAGACCTGGGAGAATCGAAGACTATCGCGAGGCTCAACGCCTCCATACTCAAATGCGGCGACAGCTACAAAAGCTGGCTAAACGTCATTGGAGAACGCTTTGTGCCAGATTTTCTCCTTTTACCCAAGTTAAGATGGTATGGAACATATTGCGCTTGCTTAGGTCCACTGTTACGCAACAACGTCCATTTCGGGCACTGGCACTTTCACGAGGAACATCCGAAGTGATAGTGGCTGATCAGTTTTGTGTTTCTCTATCTCAACCAGGTGTGGCAATGTTATCGCCAGAATATTGTGCCTCTCGTGAAGCTGCACTGAAAGACGTTGCTCAAGAAATTCATTCCCAACACTGGCAACTCGACTATAATTTCACCATTCATGAACTTAATGAGGAGTTACGAACGATTCGTTAGCATACAGCCCCTGGGCATGATCACATTCGTTATGAAGCACTTACAAATCTCGGGCCGGGAACACTGCGCAGCCTACTTGATATTTACAATGATGTGTGGAACAGAGAAACCTTCCCAGCTTCATGGAAACTAGCGAAGATAATTCCAATACTGAAGTCGGGAAAAACACCGAAAGAACTGGGATCATTTCGCCCAGTCAGTCTGACAAGCTGTGTAGGAAAAATCTTCGAAAAAATGATACAATCACGTCTACAATGGTGGATGGAAACAACCGATGTATTACCGAAACAATTAACCGGATTTCGACCTCGACGATGCACTGTAGACTCAGTCTTAGATCTTGTAACAACTATTGAACATGAACGGGCATCCGGAAATATGACGATCGCTGTATTTCTAGACGTGCATCGCGCTTTTGACACCGTGAGTCACGAACATGTTCTTCGTGGACTTCTACGGCTTAAGATACGAGGCCGTATGATCCGCTGTATACGCAACTTTCTCATGCACAGGAGGGTATTTGTAAGCACGAGTGAGGGAAATAGCAAACAACATGAACTCCACCATGGTGTGTCACAAGGCAGCGTGTTAAGCCCCACTTTATTTAATGTAGTCATGGCAGAACTGCCAAGTAAACTTCCTTCACCACTGAATGTGTCCATCTACGCTGATGATATTTGTATATGGGTATCTGGGTCTTCTGAGACCAAACTACAAAAACAATTGCAGTATGGCCTTAATGACACATACAGTTATCTTCGTGAAAGGGGCATGGACATTTCAGTTAAAAAATCTGCATTTCTTCCATTCACTAGAAAGCACCTTAAGAATTTTAAATTGACACTTCAAGGACAACAGATTGAAAAGGTGAAGTGGCATCGTTTTCTTGGAGTTACGCTGGACTTCTCCCTCACATGGTCAAGACATATTAACATGCTTGAGGAAAAAATTAACAGAGTCATTAACGTTCTTAGATATGTGGCCGGTGCCAGATGGGGAGGCTCGACTGATGGACTACTGCTATTGCATACAGCTCTAGTACGCCAGACTATCGCATACTCCATTCCTGTTTTACATGGCCTCTCACCAACACTGGAAAAACGCTTGACATACATGATTGCGCGAAGTTTGCGCGTATGCCTTGGACTCCCCCGCGCAACAGCTAGTGACCTCGTCATTGCTGAGGCCAAGGAACCTCCAGTACCTGTTCTCCGGGAACAAGAAACATGCCGTCATTATCTTCGACTGGCTTCGCACTCACATGCCCGACCCTTGTGCCAAAAGATACTTTGACGGACGGAGTCTAGCTTTCACCGACTTCTCGCCGCACTACCCGTCGCAGCACCCCATCATGCGCATTGGCTTCCAAGTTCAATCAACCCTCCGTCGACGATTCCGCCACTTGAGGTACAGACCGAAATTCCTGGTCTTGGATCAAAATCTTCGGTGGCCCCCCTGGTGGCGAAGACAATGTCCCTCTCCCATTTAGAGGCACGCTACAAAGACGACATTCATATTTACACAGACGGGTCAACATCTAACAAGGGGTCAACATCCGCTTACTCAATCCCGATGTTAGACACATTTAAATGTTTTCGATTGTCCCATCATACATGCTCGACGTCAGCGGAGTTACATGCAATACTTTCAGCATCATCATTCATCGAAGCATTCGGTACACCATCAAACTGGGTTATTCTAACGGACTCAAAATCATCCCTAGAGTTATTACAGGGCATGCACCTTCGTACTTCCCAGGCGACCATTCTATATCGGGTGCAACTCACGTTAACACAAGCTCGACTCCACGGACATAACGTCAGGCTACAATGGATACCGAGCCACTGCCAAATAGCCGGAAATGAAGAGGCTGATCACCTGGCAGCTCAAGCTCACGATGGTGATGCAATGGAAGCGACATCCTTTACCTCTGGAGATGCAAAATTCATCCTTCGTCACTTACGCCATCTACGTTGTCGGCAGTGCTGGCTAAAGGACACTCCAGCAGAGACTCTCCTACCATATATCGACCCGGATTTTGAGCTTCCGCCGCACACCGGGATGAAAAAAAAAAAATACGACGCATTAATCCATCGACTCAGACTTAAAGTGGCCTTTACTAACAGCTTTTTATTTCGAACTAAACGCCGGGATTCACCAAGATGTGACTGTGGAGAACCATATCAGGATGTACAACATATCCTCCTTGACTGTGAACGCTTTCAACATGAAAGGCGCCGGATGGAGATTCGCCTTCAAATATTAGATGATAGACCCCTGTCTCCGACCAAGTTGTTGGGGCCCTGGCCGACGCGTAAAAAACAAGACAGAGCAATGAATATCATTCGTGACTTTCTAAAGGACACTAGAATCGTGTATGATTATTAAGTGCGAACGTGCGTCAATTTCAACGGGAGTGACTATGTATGTAATTTAGCAAATCAGTGCGCGACTCCCAAACGGTCCTCTCATTCGCAATCGTAATTAGATTTGTTTGTATGTTTTTTTACGGTTTTACTTTATGTGTTTTATCTTTATTATTTTCCTTTTATGTTCTTCCTTTTATTCAATTATATTTTCTCTCTCTTTCTCGTTATGGAGTAGCCGGTGTCATTTAAAGAATACCAACATCTCCATAATAAAGAATTTATCTCTCTCTCTCGGCTCATAAAGAAATTTTGTTTTTCTCAAATATTCTTTTTTTGATCCAGGTGGCATCATGTTCCCAAACTTTCGCACCCTACCCAAACCGTTAGCTTCATATTCTCACAGAGTTTCAGCTTTCGGCGATGTATCGGCGATGTATGTATCCCCCCCCCCCCCACCCTAAAAAAAAAAAAAAAAAAAGCACGGTCGTTTTGCTTTTTTTTTTGGTGGGCGGGGGGGGGGGGGGGGGGGGTTATTTTGTAGATACCCTACTATATAAACAAAATTTTCGGGAACTAACTGGGTAAATAAATATATGTTTGCCTCGTAATACGGAAAACTACCATTATGAGCAACTTCTGCACAAGAAAAGGACGCGTCCATATTACCGACAAGGGTAGTGTCGGGTGTTAAAAAAGTTCCAAACATAAACAGTTTTTTTTTGTGTGTGCAGTTTGCAACTGCAATAAACGCGCCAAAGTTTCAGATAGGGCTGTCCGAAGAAAGGCAAAGAGAGATGGTAAAAACATGGGGAAGAATACCGCTAACCCCCCCCCCCCCCCCCCCCCCCCCCCGCCCAAAAGAGAAAAAAAAAAGAGAGAACAACAAAGGAGGTGTGATTCAAAGAAAGTAAATTATGCGGAGAGGGCGGACGGACTCCGTTCGTTCGGAATCTGGCCTCTGTGTTTACGAGTCGCCGATGCCATTGTAGATTTGGCGGGCAATGAGCCGGAACGTTGGAGAGCGCGCGCGAGACTTCTCGGTCGAACGCGCCCGTGCGAGAGAAGAGTTTCTTTCCCCAAACTTAGAGGACTCTCTCCCCTTTCGTTTCACTCGTTCCAGCTTCTTCGCATTTCCTGTATATCTGCGCCCTGGCCTTTATGGGAACCTTGCATGGACCTTGCTTGCTCGCGTGTTGGTCACAAAGTAACAAGGTCATGGGAGAGTGTGTCAGCCATAGAGCGTGGCTATTGCTTTGACGTCATAGCGAACGCGACCAATGGCATTGAACCGGACGGAATGGGGAAGGGAAGGAAGGGGGGGGAAGGAGTACGCGGTGTCCTACCCCCGCCCCCCCCCCCCCCCCCCCCCCCTATTTCCGCCCTCTCCGCTCTGTAGGAAGGGAGGCTCGAAAGTTCGATGATCGAATCAAGCGGTTCGAAAGGTTCGAAAGAGATCGATTTTCGAACTTTCCATATCAAGAAATTCGACGGAAGTCGAATTCTCGACCTTGCTAAAGTAAAAAGTTCGACGCTTTTCGAAATTTCGAACTTATTACGCGGCAAAATTCGATGCTTGTCGAACTTTCGACCTTGATAGACTAAAAAATCGATGATTTTCGAACTTTCGATTTTCTTGCACTAAAAAGTTCGAAGCTTTTCGAACTTTTGAACTTCCTACGCAAAGAAATTCGATAATTTTCGAACTTTCGACCTTACTACTCTAAAGAATTCGAAAATTGTCGAACTTCCGATTCCTGAAAAAGTCAAAAGTTCGACGAACTTCGAACTTTTAAAATAAAAGTTCGAAATCCGTCGAACTTCGAAAGACGGGCGGGCGGTTTCATTTGGATTCAAGCTGTGAAGTACATTCGTAATTTTTTTTTCTCGCATTTTTACATGTGGCCGCTTTGTGGCGCCGCATTACTTGCGAAAGACAATGCCGTTTATTTCAATCGGTCTGGCATGCTTGGTTTTAAAGAAATAGATTCCCGAAGGAGCGAGGAAGGACGACGGGTTTCTGACAATTGTCGTGTGTGCCATATTTGAAGCGCGCTATAGCCGAAGATATTTATGGTAGAGACGTTAAACTTTTTAAGAACGATCTATGTATAGCCTAGGTAGGTGTAGTCTTAAAATATGACTACTATTCTTCAAGACGAGTTTCGAAGAAATATCCAAACATGTATCTATGGGCTATTATGCCCTAAACTTGGTCTTTTTTTTTCGTCTTAATTGCTTGAGGTATCGCATTTAAATTAACACCACGGACAGTACATATCATTAACATCTGCAGAATACAAATGAATGTATATATTGCTATTTTCATGTTGAGGAATAAATTAACTCAGGGAAAAAGATTCCTAATATTGTTCAAACTCGGCACGTCATAAAAAAAAAAAATATATATATATATATATATATA